ACTTCCCTTGCCCTTGATCAACTGCATTGCTTTGATGAGTGAAACACCAGATACTCAAAGCTTGTTATTTCTTACTGTTTCAATATGGGGTTATACACAAATCCTCCTCTCTCAATGCCAGGAACTGTGTAGATAAGACAGAGAATTTCAGAGCCTTCAGAGTCTAGAATGCTGGTCGTTTTGCAACGACTATGCTTTCCTTATACAGTCTTTGGAGAAGCAGGGAGGAAAAGGCAGACAAATTTCTTTCTATTCACTGCTGTTTCTGCCACTTTCTATAAGCCCTTATAAAGTAAGAGCACAAATGCCAGTTTGAACCCATCACTGGAGTTGAAAACTCAATTGCAGAAGATTGAACCAGGTACTTCTGAAGAAGTCTGGTAACACTGTCACTGAAGTCTAGTTTTTTCCCTTTTACTGGTTTCCTCTCCCAAATCTTAACACCTAGCAAAGTGGGCACCTGGAAATCCAATGCTCACTCTACTGTATATTTAATCAATCACAGTACAAGAAAGAGGAGGACATCTAACTTCTCCTCCCACTCACAGCTTCAAGCCCAGTGCCCAGCCACTGCTTCCCTTCTCAGTTTACCCCTTTTCTCATTAGGATATTGGGAAAAACTAGAGGACCAATGTCTCATCTTGTCTCCTCGTTTTCCAGTTAGTTTGGGTAGAAATGGATGATTTGTCTTTAATTCCACTACTTGAACACATGTCCATTTAAATCTGTGTGTATCCATATTTTGCTCAAGCTACTGCCTCTCTAGCACTGCAAACACAGGAGGGCTTCACCTCTCCAGGAACTGAAAGAATTGCATCCCAATGGCCACACACGATACAACTTTAATCTTTTTGTACATGTGGTAAACGAATTCCTTTTTGTAGGGAAGAGTGAGGAATGGATCCAATCCAGGTATACAAACCAAATTAAGGATCTTTTCAATGAAAAGTACTAGCTGAACTTTCAGCCACTTTCCCTGGATGTCTTCAGTATGTCCCTAGCACCAGATCAATAGTTTGCAGAAAGAAATCACGATAGCTGAACTGCAGCCGGGATAGGCAAGATTACTGAATGATTTAATTAAAGTAGAATCAAACACACATTCAGCAGCAGAGGAAAAACTCACTTCCCCAAAGTGGAACTCAGAACACATAGAAATGTAATAAGAACCATCTAATACCATTTACTTAAGCTTTGGCTTTAGAGATCAGAATCAAAGCAGAAAAAACCAGGCACAATCACCAAATCCTCACCTTTGCCTCAAATACCTGCTGTCATCACAGCTAACAGTGTCTATAGCCCCCATTTACTTACTTTGCAAACTCCGACACCTAAGAAAGGGTACAAGTATTTTCTGGATACTAATAAGGACTGGTTAAGTGACACAACTTGTATATTTGCTCCTGGGCAGAATAGCAATTAAAGATTATTTCTTCCTGTGCTGTTAAGATTGCTGTCAGCATAACACATGTATATACCCATTTTATTTTCTCCTCTCTGAAGACTTACTCCCTACTTTTCCCAGGATTTAAAAATCATGTTAACAATAAGCAAATACAGCAAGGCCAGATGCCTTTTGTGGTCAGATGGCTCATTGTTTAAAAAGCTTCAGTTTAAAATCCAAAAGATTGTTAACAGATGCAGTTTCTGGCTAGAGACTGGGAAAAACCTCATTTAAACAAAAGAGTATGTTGTGATTGGAACTAAAAAGGGAATTACCTTTAAAGATAAGAACTACAAACATTTCCTATCTGAAAATGCCCCATCCCAACCAACAGAATCTTTTTTGGACCTTTTATGAAAGTTAAAAAAAGAGAAATGACAGCGGATTGCTGTGTATGACAAAGCAAGGATGACCGACCAGCCCCGTAAGTTTAGATTGGTTTGGATTTTCAACAAGGCCTCAACATCCGTCTCTTACTCCCCTACCAGGTATTACTCAATTAGACAAAATTTCAATTAACTTCTTTACAATCATTTTAGTCTGAGAAACACTTTCTGCTTTCATTTTGGCTCTGGAAATAGGTTTTCAACCAGAGACAGAGATAGAGAAGTTCCATAAATGAGCACAGAGCCTGATAAGCAGATAGCTGCTGCCGGGACTCTAGTCGCTGTTGGACAGGGAAACAGACACTTGGCCCTGTCTTTCAGTCCCAGGCTCACTGGCCTTGACAACTTCTGTTGATTTTTACATGGAAAGTTTGCTTTTCACCAGCTCACACCATCTGTTTCGGTTGGCTCCAGTGGCCCCTTACTCTATGACTTTACTATGTGTGAGAATGTCTGTAATGCCCTGTGTTCTAATCTTGAAGGATGGGAAATGTGACAGAGCCCTGAGGTGTAGCTTTCCTCAGCCTGAGAAATGGATGTGGCTTGGCTTGCTGGTGATAAGCCTGACTCAAACAGGCTACACAGGAGATGTTCCAAGGAAAATAATCTGTTCTTAATATTAAGGATGGCCACCATGAGGCTCCATTCTGAGAACAGGCAACCTGTCCCTCAGGATATTACATTCTCTGAAAAGAGGTAAACATAATATCCTTCTCCTAGTTCAGTTTTTGTGTTCTGGTATTCATTGTGTATTTACTGCAGTGTCCTGAAAGTTCAGTTTAACAGTGTTAGAAGCCCAAATCAAGAAAATCTTTGGTCAAGCAATGCTACCATCCATTTTAAAGTGAGGCAAATCTAGAAGCCCATGAGATTCCCTAACGAGTTAAAATGGCTTTCCCATTGATTGCTAAGTCATATAAGGAAGCCAAGCTGTTGGAATGAAGCTAGAAGAAGAGCATTCTCAAAGGTTTGTGCAATCTGGCCAGGTACTTGTAAGAAAGGCCCATCTGTCAAAACGTGGGATTCTGAGGCCAGTGGCCACATCCATATCCATCCTCCTACAAAAAGCAAACCCCACATCATGCACACTTGAGATGACGTTTGCAAGGGGATTCAATAGGTGTGGAAATTGAAAAATGAGCAGCAGCTGCAAGCCCGAGGTCATTACTATTCTCCAGGGTTTGCCTTTTCTAATCTAAGGGGCAGTAGTTTCCATGATTAACTTTCTATTGCTGTCAAGGGTGTAATAAAATCTGGGAAAGAAGAAAACTTTCCTCTCAGTAAGCTGCTCCCATTTTCCTGCCCTTTTCTTTCCTCTAGTGAACATTTTCAATCCCTTCTTTGTATTGTTTCCTAATTTTCAGAAAAAATCTGCACGAGCATGAGCCAAAATAGACAACGTCCTCTGTGTATACCTGCAACATGAGGATTTCTCTTTCTAGGTTCTAGCGGCAGGTTTTTAAGATGGCAGTGCAAAAAGTTCCCTTGTTTCCAAAAGCTGTATAACACCAATTTCAGAACTGAGCACATTTTATTTCATCTTAAAATTCTTTCTCAATGTATTACATTTGTTTCTTAAGCCATGACAATCAGTTCAACAGAGAGGTTTTCTAGTTGGTTCAATGTACACAAAGGGAAAGAGCAGAAGAGGAGAGGAAGACATTTATTTCACAGTGGTATCATACTGGTTACTACTGGATTAAGAACTCTTAAGGCTTCAGTTTGGGAATAATCTGATAGAGGCTCAGAGATCATACTGAGGGGTTTATGGCTGACCACATTTCTCAGCAAAGGCCACTAGAACCAAATCTGACACCAGTTATACCAATTACAACTGCTCAGGTGGAAAATTAATGTGTTTTAGTTTTTTTGACAGTATTCAGTATAACACTAATGACAATTCAGTGGTTCAGTCATCATGCATTCATTTCAAAGTATCAGATGCTGGAGTTACAAAGATGGATGAGACATGGTGCCTCTTCATCAGAGGTATAAAGTCAGATGGAGAGCCACTCATACAGGCTCACTGCTAGGGAGACAGTCCCTTTACTGAGTAATTTAAGATGCTCCCAGGAGAGTGGCACAGGGTAATTACACAAGGTAGCAAAGAGGGGGCAGATGTGCTGAGAGATGCCAAACAGGAGGTCCCAACCTGCATACTGGTTTCACCTAGAAAAGGTTCCCTAGTGGTGTCTTGAAAAAGTATTGGATTATTGTGGTTTGTTCCTGTTTCCCTGGGTCAGGATAAGTAACCAAAGTGTCCACTGCCTGCTGGAGAGCTAGATGATAGCCCTGCCCTTCTCATTACCCCATCTTGGTTTAAGTCTCTGTTGGAACAGAAGGAAAAGTGGTAAAAGGTAGCCATGAACAGGATTAGTCCCAAAAATGGGTGTGAGGATATACTCAGAATCTGCTACAGGGTTTAAAAGATGGCAGAGTGCATTATATTTCAGGAGATACAGTCACCATGGAGCAATGCCTGGTGCCGCAGATACTAGGGAATAAGCAGAGCTTTGTGTTTCACTGTCCCCTATATCCATTCTCATCTCTTGAAGTAATAGAACCCCCAGATCTTAAAAGGGAAGTGACTGCCCAGAATAAAGACTTTGGTCCTTTCAGCGGGTGTGGCCATGCAACCAGCAGTGGGATATGAGAGAGAGTGAGACATATAACTCCAGGAATGTGTCCCTTAAAGTGGGAGTTGGGGAGCCTGTGCCTTTTTCCCTTTCTTCCATTCTTGGTTTGGAACATGAAGTGGCTGGAGAGTCATCTTGGCGCACAGGATGAGCACACCAGAGAGTTGATGAATTGGAAAGTTGTCAGAAGGTGGCTGTAGAGGGCTGTGACCCCATACCGGGTCCTAGACAACTGTATACAGACTGCTGTGTAAAGAGCAGAGGGGAATTTCTAACTTGCATAAGCAAATGTTATTTTAGGTCTCAGTTACACATGATTATGAATGATGGTTACAGATGGAGGAGAGTCCAATGAAGTGTTGATAAAAATCCAGCCAGTAGCACTGGCCACATCTAACACCACAGCCACAACATAACACATTCAATCTGGTTTCACATTACAAACAGCTGTCCAATCCTAGTGGTAAAATGGAAGAGCAGAGGGAATCAAAATGATTATTTTCCAGTTAACCATAATCACAATGAAAATCTTACCTTTTTCTTGCTACAGTATATTTGCCATTTTTTCTCAGCTGGAAGTGCAAACATGGCTTCTCTGTGTTTGTCTGTGAGGTCAAGTTCATCCTGAGAAAAAAGAAAATAATTAGTGTTTCACAGGTTAAACGTTATTCCTGTAGGGAATGTTATCAGTATCATCAAGGAAAAAAAAAAAAGAAAACACCAACACATATTTAAATGAACTTGAGAGGAGGATCCAAGATGGCCAAATAGTAACAGCTCTGCAGTGCAGAGAACAACACAGAGGGTGAGTGATCACTGCATTTCCAAACAAGTTATTACTGCTCACAGACCAGGAGATTACTGGGCTGAAAAATGCCACAAGCTTTCAGCATGGCTGTTTCGGCTGGTGCAGCAGGTCTCTGCATAAAAACTCATACAAATCTGGGCAGCCGTTTCAACTGGCGCCTGGAATGCCTGGGAGACAGAGCCACCCATTCAACTGAAAAAAAAGGAGACTGAAACAGGGAGACAGGTGATCTGGCTTGGTGGGTCCCACCTAAACAAAGACCAGCAATCTAAAACGCTCTACACTGAGAGTTTCACAGCAAGCACAGCTGGACCCAGGATGGTCCAGCTCTACAGGGGGAAGGGCGTCCACCATTACCAAGGCAGTCTGCCACTACCAAGCCAGTCTGCCATTACCAAGGCAGTCTGCCATTTCAGAGGCAGTCCACCATTATTGAGGCAAACTGCCATTACTGAGGCAGACTGCCATCACCAAGGCAGTTCTGACTATACCCCTATAAACAAAACCACAAGGAAATTCACACAGCAGCTGGGCAGAGGCCACAGCAGCTCAGCAATGCCTCTGCTGGCAGACTGACTAGACTACCTCCTAGCTGGGCAGGGCAGCTCTGAAAAAAGGCAACAGCACATCAGGAACTTATAAATAAAGCCCCACCTTCCCAGGACAGAGCACCTGGGAAAAGAGGCAGTTATGAGTCCTGCTGCAGCAGACCTCAATGGAACAACGGAGCTCACAGCTCAGCACTCAAGCTCCAGTAAGGGTGAGACTGTCTCCTCAAGCAGCTCCCTGACCCCCATATATCCAAAGAGATACCTCAAAAAGGAGAGCTCAGACTGACATCTGGCAGGTATCCTTCTGGGACAAAGATAACAGAAGAAACTGGCAGAAACCCTTACTGCTCTGCAGCCACTGCAGGTGATCCCCAGGCAAGCAGGGTCTAGAGTAAACCTCCAGCAGTCCTATGGCAGAGGGGCCTGACTGTTAGAAGGAAAACCAAAAAACAGAAATAAATAACCTCATCATCAACACAAAGTATGTCCACACAGAGATCCGATCCAAAAGTCACCAACTACAAAGACCATAGGTAGATAAATCCACAAAGATGGGAAGAAACCAGCACAAAAAGGATGAAAACACCCAAAACCAGAATGCCTCTCTTCCTCCAAGGAATCGCAACTCCTCACCAGCAAGGGAACAAAGCTGGATGGAGAATGAGTCTGATGAGTAGACAGAAACAGGCTTCAAAAGATGGATAATAATAAACTTTTCTGAGCAAAAAGAACATGTGCTAACCCAACACAAAGAAACTAAGAACCTTGAAAAAAGGTTTGACAAAATGCTAATGAGAATAAACAGATTAGAGAAGAATATAAATGACCTGATGGAGCTGAAAACACAACATGAGAACTTCGTGAAACACACACAAGTTTCAATAGCTGAATCGACCAAGCAGAAGAAAGGATATCAGAGATCGAAGATCAACTCAATGAAATAAAACGAGAAGGCAATATTAGAGAAAAAAGAGTGAAAAGAAATGAACAAAGCCTCCAAGAAATATGGGATTATGTGAAAAGAACTAATCTACATTTGATAGGTGTACCTGAATGTGACGGAGAGAATAAATCCAAGCTGGAAAACACCCTTCAGGATATTATCCAGGAGAACTTCCCCAACCTAGCAAGATGGGACACCATTCAAGTCCAGGAAATACAGAGACCACCACAAAGATATTCCTCAAGAAGAGCAACCCCAAGGCACATAATCATTAGATTCACCAGAGTTAAAATGAAGAAAAAAAATGCTAAGGGCAGCCAGAGAGAAAGGCAAGGTTACCCACAAAGGGAAGCCCATCAGAGTCACAGTGGATCTCTTGGCAGAAAACCTACAAGCCAGAAGAGAGTGGGGGTCAATATTCAACATCCTTAAAGAAAAGAAATTTCAACCTAGAAATTCATATCCAGCCAAACTAAGCCTCACAAGCGAAGGAGAAATAAAATCCTTTACGAACAAGCAATTGCTGAGAGATTTCGTTACCACCAGGCCTGCCTTACAAGAGCTCCTCAAAGAAGCACTAAACATAGAAAGGTACAACCAGTACCAGCCGCTCCAAAAACGTACCAAATGGTAAAGAGCATTGACACAATGAAGAAACTGTGTCAACTAATGGGCAAAACAACCAGCTAGCATCAAAATGGCAGGATCAAATTCACACATAACAATATTAACCTTAAATGTAAAGGGGCTAAATGCCCCAATCAAAAGACACAGACTGACAAATTGGATAAAAAGTCAAAACCCATCAGTGTGCTATATCCAGGAAACCCATCTCATGTGTAAGGACATACACAGACGAAAAATAAAGGGATGGAGGAAGATTTACCAAGAAAATGGAGAGCAAAAAGAAGCAGGTGTTGCAGTCCTAGTCTCTGATAAAACAGACTTTAAACCAACAAAGATCAAAAGAGACAAAAAAGGGCATTACGTAATGGTAAAAGGATCAGTGCAATAAGAAGAGCTAACAATCCTAAATATATATGCACCCAATACAGGAGCACCCAGATATATATAGCAAGTTCTTAATGACCTACAAACAGACTTAGACTCCCACACAATAATAGAGGGAGACTTTAACACTCCACTGTCAATATTTGTCAGATCAACAAGACAAAAAATTAACAAGGATATACAGGACTTTAACTCAGATCTGGACCAAGCAAACCTAACAGACATCTACAGAACTCTCCACCCCAAATCCATAGAATATACATTCTTCTCAGCACTACATTGCACCTACTGTAAAACTGACCACATAATTGGAAGTAAATCACTCCTCAGCAAATGCAAAAGAACAGAAATCATAAAAAACAGTCTCTCGGACCACAGGGCAATCAAATTAGAACTAAGGATTAAGGAAATAACTTAGAACTGCATAACTTCATGGAAACTGAACAACTGGTTCTTGAATGTTGACTGGATTAATAATGAAATGAAGGCAGAAATAAAGATGTTCTTTGAAACCAACGAGAACAAAGACACAATGTACCAGAATCTCTGGGACACATTTAAAGCAGTGTCTAGAGGGAAATTTATAGCAATAAATGCCCACATGAGAAGCACTGAAAGATCTAAAATCGACATCCTCTCATTAAAATTAAAAAAGCTAGAGGAGTGAGATCAGAAAAACTCAAAAGCTAGCAGAAGACAACAAATAACTAAGATCAGAGCAGAAATGAAGGAGACAGAGATACAAAAAACCCTTCAAAAAAATCAATAAACTCAGGAGCTGGTTTTTTGAAAAGATCAACAAAATATACAGACCACTAGCCAGATTAATAAAAAAGAAAAGAGAGAAGAATCAAATAGATACAATAAAAAACAATAAAGGGGATATCACCACTGATAACACAGAAATACAAACTACCATCAGAGATTACTACGAACACCTCTATGCACATAAACCAGTAAACTTGGAAGAAATGGATAAATTCCTGGACACTTGCACCCTCCCAAGCCCAAACCAGGAAGAAGCTGAAACCCTGAATAGACCAATAAAAAGGGCTGAAGTTGAGGCAGTAATTAGCAGCATACTAACCAAAAAAAGCCCAGGTCCAGATGGGTTCACAGCCGAATTCTATCAGACATACAAAGAAGAGGTGGTACCCCTCCTTCTGAAACTATTCCAAACAATCTAAAAAGAGGAACCCTTCCCAAATCATTTTATGAAATCATTATCATCCTGATACCAAAACCTGGCAGAGACTCAACAAAAAAAGAAAACTTCAGGCCAATATCCTTGATGAATATAGATGCAAAAATCTTCAATAAAAATTGGCAAACTGATTGCAACAGCACATGAAAAAGCTTATCCATCACGATCAAATAGGCTTCATCCTGGGGATGCAAGGCTGGTTCAACATAGGTAAGTCTTTAACATAATTCACCACATAAACAGAACCAAAGACAAAAACCACATGATTATCTCAATAGATGCAGAGAAGGCCTTTGAGAAATTCAACAGCCCTTTATGCTAAAAACTCTCAATAAACTAGGTATCGATGGAATGTATCTCAAAATAATAAAAGCAATTTATGACAAACCCACAGCCAATATAATACTGAATGGGCAAAAACTGGAAGCATTCCTTTTAAAAACTGGCACTAGACAAGGATGCCCTCTCTTACCACTCCTATTCAATATAGTATTGGAATTTCTAGCCAGAGCAATCAGGCAAGAAAAGGAAATAAATGGCATTCAATTAGGAAAGAACGAAGGCAAATTGTCTCTTTTTACATACAACACGATTGTATATTTAGAAGATCCCATCATTTCAGCCCCAAATCTCAAATCTCTCCTGAAACTGATAAGCAACTTCAACAAAGTCTCAAGATACAAAATCTATGTGCAGAATCACAAAAATACCTATACACCAATAGCAGACTTAAAGAGAGCCAAATCAAGAACAAACTGCTGTTCACAATTGCTACAAAGAGAATAAAATACCTAGGAATACAACTAACAAAGGAGGTAAAAGATCTCTTCAAGGAGAACTACAAATCCCTGCTCAAGGAAATGAGAGAGGACACAAACAGATGGAGAAACATTCCATGCTCATGGTTAGGAATAATCAATATCATGAAAATGGCCATACTGCCCAAAGTAATTTATAGATTCAATGCTATCCCCATCAAGCTACCTAAGACTCTTCACAGAACTGGAAAAAAACCACCTTAAACTTCATATGGAACCAAAAGAGAGCCTGCATAGCCAAGACAATCCTAAGCAAAAAGAACAAAGCTGGAGGCATCACACTACCTGA